AAAAAAAAAAAAAAAAGGAGTAAAAGAAATGTATATACTTTGTACTTCAGAGGAAGTATTATACAGGACGTCAGATTAATACCGGTAGCTAGAGAATCCATAAAAAGAACAAAAGTAAATAAAAAGGAAAGAAGATGAAAAGACTATCATGAAAGGATTATTGATGGGAAGATGCTGAATAGTCAATTAGCTTTCACATGCAAAGTTACCTAAAGGGGTATTATTTATCTGAAAATGTTAGAAATATATACAAGACACTAAAGCCATAATAAATCATTTCCTAATTGAAACAGTGTCAAGAAAAATGAGGTCTTAAAAAGTAAATTTCAACTGCAGTTTGTAACACCTAGAGAGCCCTCCCTACAATATACCTTTTGTCACTGAAAGATCAAGCTCCGACCACCTTTTCTCCTTATCTAAAACTGGATCCAAATCCAACCATGAGAATGCCAGAATCTGATTAAGTCAATTTATGAACCATCTGTTTTATTCTGACCACTTCACTTCCTGCTGATTACATGGACCAACAAAGACAGAGGAGAGTAAGAAAACCACTAATGAATGAATTTTGGTTTTAAACCGGAACTGATCAGGGATGCCTGGGTGGCTCAGTTGGTTAAGCCTCTGCCTTTGGCTCAGGTCATGGTCCCAGGGTTCTGGGATCGACTCCTGCATCGGCCTCCTTGCTCAGAGGGAAGCCTACTTCTCCCTCTCCCTCTACCTGCCGCTCCCCCTACTTGTGCTCTCTCACTCTCTCTCTCTGACAAATAAAATCTAAAAATAAATAAATAAATAAACTGGAACTGATCATTAAAAAGGACTTCGAGATAAAAATGGTTGCAATTTTTACTTAAAATGAGATTAAGGACCAACTTTATGGATCTTAGTTGAGAATGAATCATATATAGTTCGCCCAATTTTAATTTGTCAGTTTCCATATCTGGAAAAAAAATGTAAATTCTCAAAGTTCCACAAATGAGTTACCATTATTTAATTATTTATTTTTAAAGATTTTGTTTATTTATTTGACAGAGAGAGACACAGCGAGAAAGGGAACACAAGCAGGGGGAGTAGGAGAGGGAGAAGCAGGCTTCCCACCGAGCAGGGAGCCCAATGTGGGGCTCGATCCCAGGACCCTGGGATCATGACCTAAGCCGAAGGCAGACACTTAACGACTGAGCCACGGAGTTACCATTATTGATGTAAGACCTTAGTAAGGCACTTAAACCCTCTGGGCATTGTTTTCCCTAACTGTAAAATATCAGGGGAAGGTGAATAAGCTTGCCGTTGGTCCATAACAGGCTTCAGAGAGCCAACATTCAAGGATTCTATCTAAAAAGTCACATAAAAAAAAAAAAAGTTAATGTGACTCTATTTGCAGATACCACTGTCCCAAAACAATCTAAAAAAGGCCAATAGAACAATTGAGTTTAGCAAGGTTGCAGGACATAAAAAGTCAATATACAGAAATCAATTATATTTCTAAATACTAGCAATAAACCGTTTGAAACAAAAAAATTTTAAGGTATCATTTATAATAATATCAAAAACCGGGCGCCTGGGTGGCTCAGTTGGTTAAGCGACTGCCTTCGGCTCAGGTCATGATCCTGGAGTCCAGGGATCGAGTCCCGCATCGGGCTCCCTGCTCAGCAGGGAGTCTGCTTCTCCCTCTGACCCTCCCCCTCTCATGTGCTCTCTCTCTCATTCTCTCTCTCAAATAAATAAATAAAATCTTTAAAAAAAAAAAACCAAAAACCAAAGTACATCATTTTAAACCCAAGAAAATATGTGTAAGATCTGTGTGCTGCAATCTACAAAATAATGAAAGAACTCAAGAAGACCTAAATAAATGGTTCATATACTATGTCCATGAATTGGAAGACTTAAATTATTAAGATATCAATTCTCCCAACTATATTCATGGATTTAATGGCGTCCCAATGAAATCCTAGCAAGATTTTTGGTAGAAATCTATAAGCCAATTCTCAAATTCATATGGAAAGCAAAGGAACTAAAACAGCCAAACCAATTTTTAAAATGAACAAAGTTGGAGGACTCACACTATCTCATTTCAAGACTTATTACAAAGTTAGAGTAATCAAAACCATATGGTTAAGAGCAAGAGAATAAATGCATAGGTTAAGAGAATAAAACAAAGTCTAGCAATAGACCCATATATATATATGTGGTGAACTGATTTCAAAACAAAGGTGCCAGGGCATTTCAATGGAAAAAGAATGTTATTCTCAAGAAATGGTGCTGGAACAATGAGAAATCCATATGCAAAAAAAGTAATTTCAACCCACACCTTGCACCATAAATAAAAATTACCTGAGATGGATTAAAGATTTACATGTAAAACCTAAAACTAAAAATTCTAGAGGACTAACAGGAGAAGGTCTTTGTGACTTTGGGTTAGGTAAGATTTCTTAAGGACATAAAGACAAAGGGGTGTCTTAGTCGGTCAAACATCTGACTCGTCAGTTCAGGTTGTGATCTCAGGGTGGTGAGATCGAGGCCCACCTCAGCGGCGAGTCTGCTTCAGATTCTCTCCCTTTCCCTCTGCCCTCCCTCCCCACAAAGAAGATGCATAAAAGAAACTGCTTAATTGAACTTCATCAAAATAAAAAACTTCTGCTATTAGAAAGACAGTGCTCTGAGACTGAAAAAATAAGCCACTGACTGGAAAAAATATTTGCAGAACACTTATCTGATAAAGAACTGGTATACAGAATGAATAGAAATCTCACAACAATCCAATAGAAAAGGGGGTGGGGGAAAATATCTGCACAGATAGTTCATCAACGAGATACATGTACAAAAAGTAAGTATGTACATACATGATAGGATGTTCAGTAAATGAGTGGCCCTTAGAGAAAATTAAAACCACAATGAGATATTAACACACATCTATCAGAATGGATCTTAAAGGAAATTAGCCTAAGAAAAGACTTTTTAAAATGGAATTAACATGTGTAAGAATTTTACTAAGTAATACCCAGAAACATGCAATTGGGATTCCAGAAACCTTACCAATTTACGGACAGTTTCTCTTAAAGCCTTCTCATCCTCAATCATAATGGCCATGTCTTTCTGAACAGTTGAAGCCACTACGACATCTAGTACATCAGCCTTGGAAGCCATCTTGCAAATCATCTCGTCATGGGAAAATACACAATAGCGGTGAAGCAAGCGATAATGCTCCACACACTGTCGGCCTAATGGCAGCTGTGTCAAAAGACAGAGGATAATACTTGACATTCACCTTTCTCCTTCCTATTTCCAAAGACTCCTGAGCATTATCAAATTACCAAAGATCATATTCTGGGTCATAATACATATATCAACCCTATAGCCAGATTCTAAGAGGCCTTGGGCCTTTTTTAATCTTTGCATCTCAAGGATCTGGCATATTAGGTACCTTAATTAAAAGGCAGTTTAAAAAACCCAATGTACGGTGGGTGGTGCCTGGCTGGCTCAGTCAAAAGAGCATGCAACTCCTGATCTTGGGATTGTGCGTTCCAGCCCCACAATGGGTGTGGAGATTAATTAAATAAATAAAGACATTTTTAAAAAACCCAATATATTAACAATGTATTAATGTCCAGAACAACATACAATCTAAATGGACATGTGAATTTATACATTTCCTGAAACAACTATGCTGAACTGGTGTGGTTAAACCTACTTCAGGGAACAATGATGCTCCAAACTACATAATGGAAAATAATTTTAGATACAGGCAGTACTATTACTTAGTAAAGCACTGAAACAAGGTTATAATTCATTAGATTTAACATCACACACCTAAACTAAATCTTTTTATGTAAATGAAAAGTATTAATACTAATATAAAAATTCTACTTTACAACTAAAACCAAATACATCATTAAAAATTGCTGTGTTGTAGATAATTTAAGCTAGTGTTATGTAGTCTTAAGATAGAACTCTTTGTTATGAGTTTGCAACAATACTGAATTTTGCCCAAAATGTAAATCAACACTCATTTATTCATCAAGCCAAACTTTTACAGAAGAAAAAATTATCAGCTGAACCGAGCAGTGTGCTTAGTTAGTACAGGCTTGATTTACAGTGTGGTGCCAAGTGCTTTATCCCACTGTGGATGGTAAACAATTTGTAAACCAGCCATTTGAGGAGCAACAGATTTAAGCACCACACATGAAAGCTTTTAAAGTATTATATGCCATTTCTGCAGGAAAACAATACATTTGAAAAGGCTCACTAAGTCATAATTACATACCCAATCAACAGTGCAGAAGTTAACAGCCTCAGCAAAATTAAAACCTTGATTAAAACCACTGTGGTAGGCTCTTGGAAATGTAATCACAAACTCCCCAGCACACTGATTAGTTCGGTAAACCTAAAGAGACAGAAATTGGGGATCTTTAGTGACATTCATGAAAGACAATCTGGACACAGACTATCAGATGATTCTCCAGAAAGAGAAGCTTTCTTCCAATTAAAAGTGAGCTAACAAAAAAGAATTACGGTAAAATAATCAGAGAGCTACTCAATTCTGCCACAAGATGGAGTAGCATCCCAGATTATGAGGGTTGATTAGTATCTGAACAGAAAACATGGCTTTTACTACAAAAATTTATCTATACTCAGGATTAGGACACATCTAAATATAACTACAATTAAGAATATTCTAATATTATTATACCAAAACAGCATCTCCTACCACCAATTAATGAAATTCCACCGTTCTTCCAAGTACATCATCCCATAAAGAGATCTTGATTTAGGCCTCAAACTTCCCTCCCTCCAACAAGTCCCCTTTTCCCACCACCCGCTCAAAAAACATCTGTAGTAAGGCAGCAATCTCTTGGATATTAGCCTTAGCAACATTTTCCTGGAGAGGTCTTAGGCAAGGGAAACAAGCAAAAATAAACTATTGGGACTACAGCAAGCTAAAAAGCTGTTCAACAGCAAAGGAAACCATCAATAAAAATGAAAAGGCAAAAAAAAAAGAAAAGGCAAGCTACTGAATGGGAGAAGACATCTGCAAGTGATACATCCAATAGGGGATTAATATCCAGAATAAAGAACTCCTACAACCCAACACCAAATAAATAAATAAATAAATAAATAATCCGATTAAAAAACAGACCTGAATAGACATGTTGCCAAGGAAGATAAACAGATGGCCAACAGGTACATGAAAAGATGCTCAACATCGCTAATCATCAGGAAAAGGCAAATCAAAACCACAGTGAGAGATCATCTCACATTAGAATGGCTAATATCAAAAAGACAAATAAGTCTTGGCGAGAATGTGGAGAAAAGGGAACCTCTGTACACTGCTGGTGGGAATATAAATTGGTGCAGCCACTGTGGAAATATGTGCACCCCTGTGTTCAATGCAGCAATATTTACAACAGCCAAGATATGGAAGTAACGTTAAGTGTCCACTGATAGATGAATGAATAAAGATGTGGTATAAATACGGAACGGAATATTACTCGGCCATTAAAAAAAGAAAGAAAGAAATCTTGCCATTCACAACAACATGGATGGACCCAGAGGGTGATTATATTATGCTAAGTGAAATATGGCAAAGAAAAATACCATGATTTCTAAGTGGAATCTACCCCAACAAAACAAATAAACAAAACCAGAAACAAAGTAATAAACAGAGAACAAACTGGCGGTTGCCAGAGAGGAGAGGGTGGGGGCATGGGCAGAGGGGGATTAAGGGGTACAAACTTCCAGTTATAAAAAAAATAATAAAAATAAATAAGTCTCAAGGACAAAAGTAGAGCATAGGGAATATAATCAATAATAACTCTGTATGGTGACAGATGGTAACTACACTTACTGTGTTGAGCATTTCGCAATGTACAGAACTGTCAAATCACTATGATGTACAACTGAAACTAATGATATATGTCAACTATACTTCAATGAAGTTTTAATATAAAAAAACTATACTGCTCTAGGCACACAAATCCTCAGACTGAACTTATGAAATAAGAAAATTAAATATCTTTTCAATATATCTCTCTCCATCAGTGGTTGTCCAAAATGTAGTTCCCGGACTACCAGTATCAACACCAACTGGGAACTTGTTGAAAATGCAAATTCTCGAGCACCACACAGACCAACAGAACAAGAAACTCTGGGGGTGAAGATCGACCACATGTGTTGCAACCTGCCATTCAGGGTTCAGATATAGTCAGAAATTTGAAGACCACTACCTACACCACATGAGCACAATCCCTTCTACTGGAGTACTCCCTCCACCCTAAATCTGCCAAAAATATTCCTTACCAGAGCTCCAAGTTTTAGTTCAAATGGTCATTACGGGTCCTTTCTAATTCTCCAGAGAGTTAACGGGTCAGTCTCCTAGTTGATACCACTGTCAAACCACACCACCATGCCATTATCTGTATAAACATTATCTGCCTTTCCCCTTAAACTACGAGTCCCCAAATGCACAGGTTCACTCATCTCTGTGGTTCAGAATCAAGCCCCAAAGGTTCCTCAATTTAATAACTGAGAACCATGGCCAGAGGTCCCATTTAGGGCAAGTTACTTACAACAAATCAGAAACATCAATCAATATGAGGGGGGAAAAAAATCAATGTGGAAAATACCAATGAGGAGATGGTGGCATTTTTGTATTTACTGGTCATTATTTTCTAAGCTACTGTCCATAAATAATTTATTATCCCTCAAAGAAAAATCCTTTCCATCTGCCCCCATTTACCAGCCTGTGAGCCCCAAAGCATGAAATTTAGGTCACAGCAACATTAGGTATTCACTTTAGCACAGTAAATCTATCATTTACATTTGACTTAGCTAACTAAGATGGACCCCTCAACTTCATACATTTCAGTCTGGCCTCCCAAAATATCTTCAGAGCATTCTCCAATAGGAAGCCAGTATACAAATTTTGTATAGCAACCTCCCAGGCAACATCACCAGCAGCACCTTTCAGTCTAGATACCCTTAAATCCAAGCTCAAGAGCCTGAAATTAATTTTCTCTTTAGGAGCACCTGGATGCCTCAGTTGGTTAAGTGGCTGCCTTTGGCTCAGGTCATGATCTCAGGGTCCTGAGATGGAGCCCCCCATGTTGGGGCTCCCCACTCACTGGGGAATCTGCTTCTCCCTCTCCCTCGGCTCCTCCCCCGCACTTGTGCGCTCTCTCTCTCAAATAAATAAATAAAATCTTAAAAGTAAAAAATAAATAAATAAATAAGCAAGCTTAATTAGGGGTGGAGGTATAATATAACCAATATCTACTAAGCATGTAAATCATTTCAGTTTATCATTCAAAATTAAGTTCATGTAGATTCCATAAATTATTTTTTAAGTATGGACAGAGTATGAAGGATTCTGACACTAGAGTTTAGATCTAATTGTAACAGAACCTAGACATTTTCATAGTAATTTATACAGACAAATAACATTAAGGTTTTTGTTTTGTTGCATTTAAAGACTGAAGTTATAAGGAAAAATTATAGTTTAGAAAGCCTAAATTAGACACTGAAAAAAAGAAAAGAAAGCATCACACATATTATTTGCAAAATATGGCTGCTTAGCAACCTAGTTATTAGCTGCAACAAATTAGTTTTTATGGTGTCTTGAGGATTCAGTCCTACTGGCTTATTGCAATATAGTATCAAATTCCACCTAACAGCTGTTTCTGCTATCCAGTTATGGTATGGAACACACATAACTAAAATCAACTTCATAAAAAACTGAGTAACCAGGGAAGAGAAGTGGTGAATTAAGCCTGAATACAAGAGGAACATACAGGCACTTCATGAGTCATCAGGGTATTGGGGTTCATGATGGTCACAAGCTGATGGAGAAGATCTGGTTGGGACACAAAGAGCTCTGGAGCTAGTTTCTTCATTACATTTTCTAGCTGCTCGGCAGCATACCCTGGGACTCCATACCAGGTTTTTGGCTCACCCCTGGAAAGAGATTGTAAAAATAAATCAATCTCAAGAAATACATAAACATGAAATTTCATTAGAAAAAAATCAGTCTGCAACACTAACACAAAATGGTTAACAAGTCATATTTTTCAGACCCTGCTTTGTAAGATTATGCTACAAAGGAATGTTCAAACTGAATTAAGTGTCATTAGAAATGTGATCTGAACATATGTGATGCATTCTCCCCCTTCAAGTATGGAGTTTAAATATGAGACTTTCCATCTGAGGTCCCCTCTCCTCCCTCCCATTTTTATCTGACTTTTTAGAAAATGTAAATATCTAGAATTTTTAAGAATATAAGACATCATGTTAGCTACAGGATATGTGGTTACCACAATTTCTTATAGCAACTGACAAGGAATGGCAACTTTCCATCTTCCTTTTCCCTTGTCCATTCTGACAGGCGAGGTTAAATCAAACACTAATAAGGCAATTAGCATTTCTAAAGAGCTCTTATTCTTCAAAGCACTTTAAACTGTCAACCAATTAATCTGTAACATCCCTGTGAGGTATGGTAAATATAATCCTCATTTTACAGCTGGGAGCAATTGCCTAGGGAGGCAGAACTGATGCTCCACATATACTTCCCAACTCTCTTTCTTGTGGTACATCCTCAAATTCCTTGTGTGGGGATTTAAGTGAGTTACAGATCTTCAAATATTTCTGTACTTAGAAAACCAAAGGAAATGGACGGGGTAAAAACAGATGTGAAAGAAGAAATGGCTTTGTCTAAAGAGTTTAAAAAGTAAAAAAGTCTGAATATCTGCACCCTGCCTCCATGCACTCATGCACGGATGAAGCCCATTCTACTATGTGTAACGATGCCAAAATGCAGCACAATAAACCAGAAGCTGGCAATCCCAAGGACCTGGAGGACACTCTGGGACCTATATTCCCCTACTCTTCCAAAAGGTATCTGGGCTGCCACTGCCACAGAATGGGATTTCTCCATAATAAAAGCAATGTTCAGTGCTTTTTAATCTTTCCATGAGTAAAGGCTTCTTTCACTAACAGCTGTCTATGCCTTCCCCAGAAACATGTTATACTTGAAAAATAGTGTGTGTGCAATTGTAGGGGATTTATGGATTTCCTAGGATCCTTAAGAACCAGTGCCTTAGCTTGTTAAGATGCCTGATTCAACAGTAGTGAAAAAACAGTTTGTTACTCTTTAGACACATTTAAAAAGTTTCCAGCCCAGCTTGCATACTATTCATAGGTTATGTGGAACTTCTTACCAGTGCAGGTAGTTAATTGAATAGCTCCAGTGGTCTTCAATATGCCAACAGAATGAAGAAAAGCACATTCCCACATATAACCAAGGAAGTTTCATGCCACATATATCAGCAGTAATGTGAGCAAGGACAGACTGCTCCATCACTGGCATATTGTTCAAATTCCAGCCACTATCAAGATACTCCTAGAAAGGAAACAAAAAAGGTATAAAGATTTAGCTATACATGCTAACATTTTAGACTCTCGATGTTTCAAAAAGCTGGCTGAAAACAGTCTCCTTCAAAATGAGAGGGTTGGGGTCAGAGAAAAGGAGAGACTACTATGCTAACTTCTTAGATGCCCATAGATTACTTCTGCTCAGTTTTGAGCTTTATATAAATAGATTCATATAGTATATACTTTTGTATCTCTATAGTTACCCCCTTGTGTTGGCTATAGAGAAAATACACAGTATGAGTCCATTTATATTAAGTTCAAAAACAGGCAAACTAATCTATGGTGTTATAAATCAGGAAAGTGGTTGTCCTGGGGGTGGTAGTAGTGGTTGTCTTGAGACAGGGAAGGTAGTGAAATAGGGAGGACAAAAGGCGAACTTCTGGGGTAAGGTCTGGTAATAACTGGTTATGTCTTAATTCTTGTTCTAGTGCTGGTTACATGGGTGTATTCAGTTTGTGAAAATTCATCAAGGTGTGCATATGATTACATACTTTTCTATGTATATGTTAGATTTCAAAAAGATCTAAAAAAAAATCTGACTTCCTACTAGGATAGGAATAGAAACCTTCCTAGAAGTTTGCTATTATGGAAAATAATAGACTCATAAACAGTAAAATTCAAAGATAAATTTAGGTCTGGTCCCAATCCCTCAAATTTTCTTCAGAAGGTAATACCACAGTTATAGAATGAAGGCAAAGGGAGGTTAAGTAATCTCCCCGTATCATCACAATGTAGTTGAACAGCTGGGACTAGAATTCTTCTGAGGGCTCTACTTTTCTTGAAATCATTAAAAATCTGGTAATCAGGAGTGCCTGGGTGGCTCATTCAGGTAAGTGTCCGACTCTTGGTTTTGACTCAGGTCATGATCTCAAAGTCCTGGGATCCTGACAAGAGCCCTGTGTCAGGCTTCCTGATCAGCGGGGAGTCTGCTTATCTCTCTCCCTCTGCCTCTCTCCCCTGCTCGTGCTCGCTCACCCTCTCTCTCAAATAAAATTTTTAAAAAATCTGGTAATCAAAACTGTGCTGAAAGTAATCAAATTATTTCAAGCCAACCAAATGGAATTTTAATTAATAATTCAAGTTCAGGGGCGCCTGGGTGGCTCAGTCTTTAAGCGTCTGCCTTCGGCTCAGGTCATGATCCCAGGGTTCTGGGATCGAGCCCCGCACTGGGCTCCCTGCTGCGCGGGAAGCCTGCCTCTCCCTCTCCCACTCCCCCTCTTTGTGCTCCCTTTCTCGCTGTGTCTCTCTCTGTCAAATAAAGAAATAAAATCTTTAAAAAAAAAACAGTAATAATAATTCAAGTTCCAACTACATGTAGGTTTGCAGTAAGGCTATTAATCCTGTACTACGCCCTTTAGATAAGGATATGCTGAACTATTAGGTTTAAACACAGGTCTCTGCTTGAAACAGAAGTGCCTCACAGAGCCTACCTCCTCCTCAGGTGAAAGTTTGATTTTCCCATCTCGGACAGGGAAGCCACTGCCAAATTCTTTTGAGGCAATATCGGCTCCATATTCTACTGTGACATCCTCTTCAATAGTGCTTACCAGTCGCCAGAATTCTTTCTCAACTAGTTCTGTGGGAACCATCTGGAAACAAAACAACGAGGAAGACAAAAAACTGAATTTTCAGACACTCACAAACTGCCCATGACCAATCTGAAGACATTAGCTTAAGTGACAGGAATCACAGGACAACACCCTAAGGAAAATTATATCCATATTGTTCCACAATTGATCCCAGGCAGTTTAGACATGTATATTATTTTCTAAAAGCAATTATATAACTAAAAAAGTAAGTACTGATTAAGAATTCATGTTCCTCTATCACCAACCTGGCCAGTACACTAAAAGGAAGTCAAGGAAAAAGCAAAATTCTGACAACCAAAACCTGGAGATGTTCTTGTGTGTGAGAAATGTAAATATATAACTTGGTTAACCATTATACAGTAATAGCTGTGTTTGAATGACACTTCATCCATCGAGATGTGTTCAAACACATTACCTGAGTCCATCCTTTCACTCTTTGCACTAGACCCAGCTAAGAATAACGCAGGCAACCATGATGAAAAAGACAGAGTGCAAAATATGAACACAAAGAGCAATTACTTTGCAGCAGCATGCAGTAGTACAGCGAGTCACCAGACTGCGTGTCTAGGATCTGTTAATCTGATGCAAGTCTAGAGAAAGGTAACTTAAATGCCTTAAATATGCACACCACCGGGACTGGATAAGCAAACATACCGGGAAATCATACAATGGATGAGGGGGTCAAAAGAACTGAAATTCAAATGGAGTATAACTTGAATTTAAGCCTCTTAAGTAAGCAAACATTTTAAGTAACTTAACAGCTTATGCTAGTGCTATCAGGGAAAAACAAGTTCACACATACATTGCTGGGTTCCCATAAATGATACAGCCATTAAAGTGGGGGAAAAAATGGGTAAATACTCTCATCTGACCTCAGTAAGCACTCCGAGAAAATAATCCAACTAAAGAGGTCTACATGTGTGAAATGTCTGCCTTAGCACTTCGTTGGCAAGTGAGAAAAAACACAGCTTACATGTCCAGAATTAGGGCAGAAAACCATTTAATTCTGGTGGACTCACTTGACAGAATGTTAAATGCTGAATTAAATAGCCTTATACTTCTAAGAGCATAAAGGAGAATTTAAAATGAACTCATCCTAAAGTTTACGATACTAACTTACAACAATATATAAATGTGTTCTCAATGCATAGGAGTCAGTCAATAAATTGTGAAGTTTTCTTTAAATTACATTTGTTGAACTGAAAGCATTCCTGATGATTTCCTTTATTAACATCCTGTTATTGCTGCTGTATGATTTGTGTGGAAAAGGTCATCTTTAGAGAAATCACAAGTGAAAAATGAGAATGCATTTTAACATATTGTGGAATTTCAATACCATTAAACAAATTAAAGGGGTTCACTGTGTATGATAATGTTTATCAAAAAAAAGTGCCAAGTGAAATTGTCTTCAGATTCTAAAAGTTATTAAAATCCCAAATCAAAGCAGTACGTATGTACATACGTGGACGGGCATGTTGAAATAATCAGATTTGAACGCATCTGCCATTTCCCCAAAAGTACGGAGGGTATAGTCCCTGGCTGCTTGTTCAAAGCCAAATGCTTCTTGTGGCTTACTACACTCCTGCCAAAAAGAAAAAAAAAAATAAAAAGTAAAAAGAAGATTTTTATTTATAGACACATAGTTATATTTTATTGATATTATTTTTAAAAAACAGATTAGTAAAATTACGTATGCAGTGTTTAAAATACAAAAATGTCTGGATGGATATACATCAAAATAACTTGTCTAGCAATTATGAAATCATACTCTCTTTTAAGTCATTCAGTCTAAGAATTTTTGCAAAGAACATGCAATGCTTTTTTAAATAAAAAAAAAATTTAAGTGTAGTTAAAAAAATTTTTTCTGCCTCTCACTGCCAAGACCTCCTTCCCAGTCAGGTCCAGCCCACTTTTTTTCATGAGCCTCACTGTCATACCAATTGCTAATCTAAAACCCAAAAGCAAACAAAAAATATTCTGAAGGAAATTTTCTAATGCTATCTCTGCCATTAATTCTTACCTGAGCCAAACACTTAGGACACCTCCAGTCTCCCTTGGGAACATCATGGAGAGGGGGAATAAGGCAAAAGGTGTGGTAACTGTCATCACAGCCATCACACAGGAGAAGCCGGTCTTCATCATTCCCACTGCCACATAAGAGGCAGACATACAGATCCACCTGCAGCAGTGAAAACAGGTACAGGACCAGGAGCGTGAGCTACATTCGATTTTGTTAAACTCTAAGAATGAAATGCATAGAGGCATAATCTAGTCTTTCCATCCTTCAAATGAAAATCAATCACCCCCCATAAGAGGTATTTTATTTTATTTTATTTTTTTAAAGATTTTATTTATTTATTAGACAGAGAGAGAGACACACAGCGAGAGAGGGAACACAAGCAGGAGGAGTGGGAGAGGGAGAAGCAGGCCTCCCGCCGAGCAGGGAGCCCGATGCGGGGCTCGATCCCAGGACCCTGGGATCATGACCCGAGCCGAAGGCAGACGCCCAACGACTGAGCCACCCAGGCGCCCCTGTGTGTGTGTTTTAAGATTTCTTTATTTAGGGGTGCCTGGGTGGCTGAGTCACTTAGCGTCCAACTCTTGATTTTGGCTCAGGCCATGATCCCAGATCTCATGCCCCTCTCTCTTTTAAAAGAAAAAAAGAAAAAAAAAATATGTATATATATATGTTTGTTGGTTGGTTTATTTATTTATTTATTTGAGAGAGAGAGAGAGAGTAGGCATGTGCGCATGCACGGGAGGGGCAGAGGGAGAAGAGAGAAAATTCCCAGCAGACTCTGGCTGAGCGGGTGGCCAGAAGTGGGGCTCCATCCCACAGTCCATGAGATCACGACCTGGGCCAAAATCAAGAGGCGGACACTCAACTGAGTGTGCTGCCCAGGCGCCCCTCAGCTATGTGTTTTAATGTTTGTTACTAAGATATTTAGCTTGTAGTAGCTTAGAGAATGATAATCTTCTGGAAGAACATGTTTGGTAATAAATTATCAGCTTAACCAAAAGTAGAACTTATAAAGGAAAAAAATCAATTTTGTCATTTTTTTTTTTTTTAAAGATTTTATTTATTTATTTGAGAGAGAGAGAGAATGAGAGACAGAGAG